ACCTGTGCTTAAATCCAACAGTACATGCGATCAGTGGCGTGGCAACTAATTTTGTCGCTCGAGGCAGGGGTAAAATTGTCGCTCTGCATGAGGGCAGCATAGGCGCGTGAAGGACACACGCCCGGTAAAGTGTACAATAATTTTTGATGGAAACTATTGTACGCTTGGGACACTGAGGTGAATGTAGTGAAAGTGACCGCTATGGGATAAATAAGAGGATCACTGGGAAGAAAGTCTGCAAAGGTGTGACACGGCGCAATGGTGGTGTTGGTCATACAGAGTAACGTTAAAATATTCAACCCACAGCTTATCTGGATATTTTGTGTTTTATATTGGTATCAAACATTCGACGGTAATAAAAATGCCGCCCTGCCGAACAGCCTCACCCACTCCCCATGCTGCGCCTCTGCAAACGAAACAGCTAAATGTATTCAAAGTGGATCAGTCATCTCATCGTCCACGGAATGCGAACCCCCGTCAGTAAGCATGATCACGTGTTGTGAGTCCAGGAACAACACCATAGCTTAATCATCGCTAGTCGCTCATCGAAACTCAAACAGTACACTGATAACCAAAGCGCTTACACCTAGCGGCAACACCAGGTTAACAACGATGTACTTGAGCTTCCTGATGAAAAACGATTGATCGTATATGTGCCAGCAAACCATGCGAAGTTTTAGCCGATGGCAATTAAAGCCGTAAAATAACCGCTCATTTTCGCGCGAACAATACTGGGACTAAGTTTCGTCGAGTCGCTCGCCTAGTGTAATATGTGTCGTGTCGAGGGTACCCAGGGCTTCTCTGTCCGGGCGTACATTGGGTTCTGAATGACCAAGTGGGCTGAAAGGCAAAACAGATAGTTGATAGGCGGCTTGACAGTTTTATAACAACTAGCTAATAATATTCGGAAGTGGATGGAGAGTGCGCCTGATTTATATCTCGTGGTGAGTTGCACGGTGTGGTCCCAACTGGCAATGGAGGAGGGAGCCTGAGGTGTGTGGACGGATGATGATAACACAACTGAGACATGGTTACAGGAGATGTCCGGCTATAACCGGATTATTTATCCACGTAGAATTGTAGTGGAGCGAAATAGCAACTCCCACTTGCTAATATATCTGTAATTTGGCAAGTGGCATTTGAACACACAGACTGGTTTGCCTCATGCGGAATCATTCATCCCTATGTAGACGCTGCAATCTGATGATAATAGTGACTCGCCGAAGCGAGTATATTTTATTTGCTGCTTCAAAGGACTTTCTCACCGCAACCCTGTGGTGTGTTGGAATACAGTCCGCAACTGAAAAATACCCATCCGGAAATATTTCCTTAGAGAGCGTGAGGAACGTTAGTTGTGCTTTCCCTACATGCTCTGTGTTTGCGCATGCAGCGTCCAGCCGCCTGCGTTGGTGTAACGGATTAAGCAATCTGACAAACATCCACACTCACTACCCATGTCCGTCAAGTCCGCATAGTTCAATTTTGTTGCTTATTATGCCCTTATCAAAGTCTTTATCCACTGGCTCTCCAAACACCAACAATGACAGGCGGTAGAAAATAATTGCTTACCACACAATCGTGTTAGAGTGGCATTTGTTTGTCAAGCGCACACATGACTGTTCTACAACGCGGCAAGTAAAATGGGTGTGCGACGCAACCACACGCACCAACTTACCGGAAATCCACGATGTTCCCCCGATTAGAGAATTGGCTATTTCTAGCAGGGTATAAAGTGCACTGACCCGTCATGTTAATAAAGCAAGAACAACACTCGTTTAAAACTGGTAGTTTACCGCCAGTGGAATATTTCACAGATCGAATAAATGAACAACACGTCCATAATTCTTGCTGCCACGTTGAACCATTTGTTCGCAGTGCTGCTGCGTCACTAAGGTCAGTGTTTCCGACACCGCGTCCTCCAAAAAGCGAATCCGCCCCTCGCTTTTAAACAGAACGCCTTAAGGGTCCCCAAGGGGCATCTCGGAGTACCGTCCCACATTGTCCGTTTTACATAAGATTTTATTATGCTCCAGATGCTCTCGATGGGATTGAGCGTTGAAGAGTAGGATGCTAGGCGTAGTACTCTCTCAGAGCGGTACGGTTAAGCCAGGGAAACGTTTTCCAGGTCAGTGTGACATGGCGCGTTGCAGCAAGTCAAAATGCACCTTTCCACAAACGCTGCTCCGTTGATATCAAGCAGTTGTCGTAGCCACCGAGCGCACCTTTGCTTGTTGTAACTTTCTTACAAAACCAAACATGCTATCAAGCCGCTGTTTGTCATGGCGCCGACAAGATGAACATTCGGTCCCCAGCTGTTCGCCGCGGTATACTGCGCTCGACTACCACGTCGTGAGCGGCCACGAGTGCGGGAGCAAAATAAGTTGAAGTTGGTCTCATCAATCCACACCGGCTGCCTTCCTTCCACCCCGTAACCCATGAGCTGCAAAACGAACGACCGGCGTCGCTGTTTGTTCTCCAGCGTGTGCATGGACTCCGGAATGGCGTGCAGCTTCTTCATTGTTATCAATCTACCATCCAAGTATCGTGAGACGGTATTGGGATTTACTGCAATTTCGAACTCCACCTTCAACCGCAAACGAAGAATTTCAAGGGTAACGGCATGCTCCGCAGAAACCCACTCCACCAAAGAGTCGACGTGGCTTTCTCACAGTGCGCAGGGACGGATTCCCTAGTGCTGCCCCACCAATTCCGTCGATTCGTACGCCCGTATCCAGTTACGGCATGTTTTTACGTTCACCTTCGGTGTGCAAACGACCAGCTTCCAATCGTCTCCTTCCTCGTACGCTTTCAGTATTGCGTCCTTCACCTCTATCGTGTAACGCGCATACAAGGCAACCATGGCGTTTACGTAAATACACGTTCAAAATCACACGGTAAACTTATTTGGCTGTAGCTCGTTATCCTAACCCAATCGTCGTCCAAAACCCTACTTTTCACCTAATTGGTGGGGAACGCTTCCTTGGACAGAGAAACACAGGCCCACATGGTGCATCGGCCACCGACACTGTACCAGGTAGGAGATGAAGCATCCCACTGAGGCCCTATTGGCTGAAGGCGCTGGGCTATACAAGAAACTACACACGTGCGCAAGTGAGCGGTACACGCAAGGCTCAAATTAGTTGAGTAACGACACAGCTTGTTTGCGCCTCAGCACAACTCTTTTGCCGTTCAGTGTAACTCTGTTGCCCAAGGGGACAACTTGGCTGAGAAAATGTATAGAGGCGACTCGAGATTAAACCCCTCCAATGAGACAACAGGTCTGTTGGCAAGTACCACTAGCTTGGTGCTCACACAAGCTACAGTATGCAGACAGCGATCAGGTTCAGTTACTTATCGTCTTCGGAGTGCAAGGTCCAGGTCTATGATCGATACAATAACATTGGCTGCACTCAATGTTAAGGAACTCGAAATTGCTTGCCTCTGTAATCCTTCAGAGTAGCTGGCACTCGTGAAATCCAGATTCATGAAGAGCAAGCCGGGTATCGTCGAGGTCGCGACTGTATCGACCATTTCTTCACTTGAGTCAGTTGTTGGAGCACCGTCACACATATTGGCGGCCCAGCGTAGTCGTGTCCCACGACATCAAATGTGCCTTCGATTCGGTTGATCGATGTGCCCTTTGGGACTATTTACTCAGGAAAGGTGTGCCCGAGAAATATGTAAATATCATCCGAGCATTATACACGCGTAGTTCGGGCAGGGTGAGGGTTTACGACAAGCTCACACGACCCATCAATATCTCCAGCGGTGCGAGACAAAGATTCCCGCTGTCACCTTTCCTCTTCAACTTCGCTACTGATGAAGCCATGGAGATTGGGTTCACAGGACACGACTTAGGTGTGGAGCTGCTCCCAGGCAAATGACTTTTTGACTTGGAGTATGCTGACGATATTGCCCTCATCTGTGACAGATCACTAACGTGCCAAGCTATACTGGACAGATTAGCACTGGCTGTCCGTCACTTCGGACTTTGTTTTCACTATCGAAGTGCAAAGCTTTCTTTCATGATTGACATGGACCGTCTCCTTCGCTGACGCTTGGTGAAGATCAGCTAGAAGTCGTACAAAAAATCAACAACCTGGGAAGTTGTATCAGCGACCCTGGAATCGAACCGTACAGCAAAAGCTCGAGGCGCTTTTGTTAGCCTTTGCAACCTATGGCGCCGGTGCGACATCACTCTCGCCCTGAAGGGTGCGTTCGAACCTCCTGTACGGTTGTGAAACCTGGACCCTTAAATCAGCCGATATAAAGAGGCTAGTTAGGTTCGACCATCGGTGCCTTCGCAGTTTGGATCCCATCTGATGGGAACACCGCGTGAGCAACGAGCGTGTTCAACGCCATTGTTTACGGCACAGGAAAAGGAAATGAAACGCCCAGCACTGTTGTTTCTCGCATCAGGCTTCGATGACTCGGCCACGTGTTACCCATGCCAGCCCATCGACTTCCGCGACGTGTGTTGTTTGCGCGCCGTGGGTGTGGATAGAAGAAGAGGAGAGGTGGCCAGGTGATGACTTGGTCGGGAGGCATGAAGGTCCTCGCTACGAAACTGCCTTCGGTAAGAGCTTCTCCGCTCCCTGATTGGAGTCCGAATGACGATAAACACGCTTGGCTGGACACTTGCTAACATGGCTAGGAGCCAACCTCAATAGCGTGTGTGCTGTGATTATTTTGTCCCTCCCCATCTCTCTTAGCCTCGCCCTCCAAGCGCCATCTAATCTGTTAGTATACCATAATTTTGCATAATGAACTGTTTTGCTGTATAGTAGTCGGCTGGTACCTTTCCGGAACGATGCCCACCCGTTACTGGTAGCTCAGCTGGCATGAATCTGCAGCATGTATTTTTCTTTGTTTTTTTCTTTTATGTATTGCGGCACAGTAACTGAGGTATTTTCCATCTCTAGCTAACATGTATAATGATGATAATAATGGACAAGTTAATCTATCAATGAAGCTAGCCTAGAAGGGAGAATGGTTCCACTTCAGCAGCGTCATTACGTGCCATCTATAGTAGGCATTATGATGTCAGCGCACATGCATGCGGATGTAACCCAGCTGGTGATTCCGACACATTAGGCCGGTTAAAATGACATTCTAAGGGTCTCACCAAGTGCACTAGTCGAGTTGCCCAGGCGTGATCAGTCATTTATTTTCCGAGCTACTGTCTTACTGATGGGTAAACTTTTTTAGAGCCAAATGTCAAATAAGTCGGAACAGTGCTCAGATAATCTCAGTGGTGTTGGTCATCACTACTCACCAACGCTTCCGTCAGATACGGACTTCCCAGAACGGAAATCATAACAAAATCATCTTCTTTACTTCAACAAAGTTAATCGAGACTCCAGACACCGATCCACTGTCCGGAAGTCTCAAACAGAATAAATGAACTTTTAGGTTTTTTGTGCACTGCGTGATGGCGGCGATTCCAGTACAGAGAGAGCATCTAGCTTAAGGAATCACAGCGATATATTGCTTCGCGAATTGCGAGTGTAGATGATGTGTATACTCACTTAAAATCGTGCGCTTGGCTTCGGCTGAAAGAGTGAGTGTAAGGCAGGCAAGTACGAAAGCATGGTCATAATCTTGGCCAGTGCTTCAGACAGCACGAGAACCCTGGGTTGCAACGTACCATCAACAGCTGATAGCAATGTGATTATTTGGAGTTCAATGTCACCGGTCATTGGATGGCCACCAACTAATTCAATGCAATGGCTGGTGCTGGATCATTGCACTGCAGTTATATGGGTCAGCGTGGATATTCAAGTGAATAAATTCTTCATCGATTTCAATGCTGCAAAAATGTACCCAAAATCCAAATCCGAGGCGTCGTTCTGATTGCGGAGAGACCGAATTAAACATTCGTTTTGACTACAGGTATTACGGCATCCGTCATTTTGACCATCTGTATAAAGGAGGGGATTTATCGACAATACTCATTCTTCAGAGGCTCTGGTTACAGACGGTGGAGGCGCAAATCGAAACCACATAGAGCTGCTTTGCTTTCAGCCCCTGCTTATAAATTCCAGTGTAGCTAAGAAGTTACAGTCCACGCAAAAGATTGGTAAATAGGCCCATTCTAAAAGACCAGCTCTGATATGTTTACTAAGAACGATTCGGACAATCTAAATACTACGAGTCCTTAGCTCAGATCTAACTTTGACTCAACTCGTGCAATTCGCAGTTGTGACGCCTGAGTGTGGTAGGCACATTTACGTTCGGGCAATGTGAACCAGTATGTGCAGCAATTGAGTGAAATCCCGGATTGATCAAGCTGCGACATGGAAAAGGGCATGAGGAAACTGGAGAAGCCAAAATAATGCATGTCGATTTCTCCGATAAGACCATGGGGATCAGCCGCATCTGTGCTTGCGAAGAAACGATATTAGCATCGAGTCATGTGTCAGGCCGCATCCAACTTGTATGGGGTCAGATACAGAGCTCCAAGCTGTGACCGCTAATCGTCGTTGAAGGGAGGAGTTAGTGGCCGAAGTCAAACAAATACCTCTGAAGTCGTAATACCGGGGCTCGAATAGGAGGTTCGGATGATCCAGACGGTCTAACTATCGTGAAAGTCAAGTAGATCGCACAAACATCCTCTCTAGTGTCGAATAACGGTCCAACTACTGGTTACAGAGTAGCATTGAGATTTAGTGTCGTTTGTAAAGGATCTATCATAAGCAGACTCCATCAGCCACAAAAATCCGGGAAAATGCGCACCACACAAGGGCAACAAAAGTTGATCGATGGAAACCAGCGAAATGCGCACAGAATGCTACCAGGTAATGCATATCATCCAGAGAAATGAATGCAAAACTCCGGTTTGATTGTTTACTGCGGATGCATAGCGCACTTACCGAAGGGCCTTTGTTCCGTCAGGAAAACTGGAAGTTAGTTATTAGATTATGTAGCCCAGCCAACGTCCCCCATGGCTCAGTGGCTTAAGCTTCTGGCTAGTTGGCGTCTGCCTCTAGCGGTCATGGATTCGATCCTCCTTGGAGGACCGAGGGAGTGCGCACCAATGACGAGCCCCAATAGGACGAAACGCGTCTGGTGCTTTTCCGGACTAGGCTGTGCTGCGTAGCTTGTGAACTACTGGTATGAAGCCTTGGAATAATTACAACTAAAATTCTGCTACTCACGAGTAATATAAAACAATAAGTGGTTAGATGTTGAGATCATAGAACGTAAGTGCAGATTGCTCATTGAAGGTGCTGGGCTCAAGCTACGTCTCAAGTAATCACTCCTGCAATCCATGCCCCAAGTACTACGGGAGCAACAAGCAAGCAATTTGGCTGGAAGTGCTGCTGAATCCGTCGCTTCCAAAGAAGATAATCAGTTCATAGAGAACGTCCAAGTGTCAAGCGATGAAGCCAAACAAACGGAATTGTAAAGCAGCATGTAAACGTGGAGACAGAAAGTGGTATTCACAGTGATAAATAAAGGTAAATGTGCAGTTAAAAAGCTATTCTTTGCCACGGATAAACCGATTTCTTCAAGGTCAAGTCACCGTACAAGTAGGAAAGTTAGAAAAAGAGTATAACTTCAGCCGAATCTCGCGGGTGCAAACATACCTCGGTCACACGGAATCCAACAACAAGGCGGTGAATTAGAGAAAGCAATTGGTTCGATGAAAAGCAGCATGTATAATGCAACAAGCGGAAATTTTACTAAACAAAACAATGTACAAAGCGGCAAATCCCTGAGACGTTGTTCAGGATTAACAAAACTGTAAAGATAATGAGAAGGAAGGATGAATGCACTTCGGTGGGGAAGCGTGAATCACTGGTCCCCAGTGGCGTGAACGGATGACAGATTATCCTTAGCAACCCGCAGTCGTTCCTTGCTTGTTGAAGCCAGATCTAAGGCTTCTAACTCTGCGAACTGACTATCCAGTGTCAGCCGCAAAGCCTGAAGAAATGTTGCCAGGGTGACGGTGGGACGAGGTCGGCCAAACTGAGTGCTGGACGAATGCACGGAATACATCGGACCGGATTGGAGTGCGGCCGTGGACTGACATGTGGGCATGTGGACACGACCACTAAAGGAGAGATTGTGGCGGAGAGTGGGGTGGACTCTATTCAGATGGAACGCATGAGCCAACAGAGGCATTTTGCGCAATGTTCGCCCATTCAAGCCGACGCTACGCTCAGCCAATCGCCAAAGCGCTAGGCTCATTGCATTTAGCTGTAAAAGAAAAGTAGAGGACAAATATTCACAGCTATAATGAGTGACCAATACCATTCACACCCCGATCTACAGGTATTCTCAATAATTTCCAGCCAACTAGAGCAACAAAACGATTGGATGACCTGTGTAATGAACATAAGTTGTTGATCCCAGCTTGGCAATGGAGGATGAAGAGATAATTAGGAATTGCGGAAATAGTGTCAACTTTATGCTCGACATCAGGCAGTCGAAGTACTAAGCAATACTTCCACAAATAAACAAGTAGTGTGATCTAGGGAAGGTCATCCTTTTGTTTTTGATGTGTATTAACGACATCTTTAGCGTAACCAGACACGGCAAACCATATGTATTCACCAATGACATTAGAATGTCAGTAAAGCCTTGGCCGACATGCAAGTGGATCCAAAGCAACTGGAAAGTAAATTCTCACCAGAGAAGTGCAACTGCATTTGTAATCGGTGCAATAATATACCGAACTCATTGGTGCTTAAATGCAAAACACTGTACATCTGTTTCACAATTCCTGACTTTAGTCTACACCACTCGAGTTCCTTCAATTTTGCCAAACAGGTGCAATATGCTGTGGTAAGAAGCAGTAAACTGGGAGGACGGACAGTAAAATCTGTCTGGAATGGATACAATCTGTATTTATGTAAAATGCATATTCGTCTTTCAAGAGAATACTACTCGTTAGTGCATACCAACTTGGGAAAAAGCTACGGGACTGTGCACCTTTAGAAAGCGCCTAAGGAGAAACTGGTTATCTTACGTACTATGATCATCGCCGTGAGATGAAAACCGAACCACTCTACCTAAACCATACACGCGTTTTTACTTCCACCTTCCCTTAATTACAATATAAGGAATAGACGCAACACGTTACTGGACGAAAAAATACAAGGACACACACAAAAGCACACGCAATTGTTACGCAGTTGTGTGGAACAAGCTACTGCAGAGTGAGAACGTGCGATTCAGAGGGCGTCATCGGTAGTCTACTAAACAGGTAACTGACAGAGAAGAAAGCAAAATATATACGCAAGATGGACGTTAGCATCATCATTTTATATGGGGAATGATTCAATACCATATGGTGAATTACAAGATCCACTGATTCGATGTGTCATTCCACCTATACGAGTTTACCCACTTCCCTCCTTGACTCAATAAAGCACAATGAGCCTGTGTTGACACGCGCACACTGATGTGTTTGAAAATTTGTCACTGCCTTTGTTCATTACTCCTCTTCCCCTGCTCAATTATTCATCGTGTGCCTATGAGGATTATGCGCAAAACGGTAAGTTGGACAGCCGAATCCAATGTCTGTACAAGTCGTTAACCACCACCCAGGATTCCCACTGTCGTTACACTTGGTTTGACGAAGAACCACCCGTCCGTGTCAAAAGTGGCGCCGACATGTCATAGAGTCATCGTCTTATCTTCATCTAACGGATTCTTACTCTGTTAGAACACTGATCAGTAGTGATTTTGGTGCGGCTAATATTGTAGTGTCAATGTTTCCGAAGCTAGCCACGGTTTTATTAGAAAACGAGAGAATATGTGGTCTGAAATTCTTATGCAAATCGTTTCTTGTACTGCAAAGGAAGATGTACTAAACACTCGATAGTCTTGCATACATGATAACTGAGGAAATAATCTCAGCTGATGTGTATCAAAACATCTAATTCTTGACAAAAAACGCAGTTTGCACAATTTACTGCTAAGTGGTATATCTGGAAAGTCATCCAGGATACTACAGCAGTAGTCCGCCACCATTTGTCTGTCCTACCAGCATCGATACCCTTTTGCATCACCTTAATGTCCTGATGTTGATGCAGGAAGAGCGAGTGAACCGCTCAGCACCATTATATCACGCACCAGGCTCCGATGGCTGGGCCACGTGTTGCGCATGCCAACACACCGACTCCCGCGACGTGCATTGTTTGCGCGTTGTGGGTGCGGTTGGAAGAGGAGGAGGGGAGGCCAAGTGATGACTTGGTCGAGAGAAATGAAAACCCTCACTTCGAAATTGGCGTCCGTTGGTGCATCCCGACTGCCTGGCTGGGGTCCTAAGGACGGTGGACATGTTTGGTTGGACACACTTGCTGATATGGCTTGGAGCCGACCCCAATGGCGTTTGTGTTGTGAGTTCCTTTGTCCATACCCCTCATGTTTAGCATCCCCCTCCAATCACGATCTCACCTGTTAGGCATAATATGACTCTTACGGCAGCCAACTGTTAGCTCTCCGGAACGATGTCCATCCGTTACTGGGGACTCAGCCGGCGTGCCACTGTTTGTTTTTCTTTTCTTGACTTTTGTATTGCGGCACAATAGCTGAGGTGTAATGATGATGACGATGAATGTCCTGATGGAAACTCTCATTTGGTTCTTCGCTGACGTCACCAACATTATCTGGGACTATGAAAATGTAACTTTATGCTCAGATTGCAACCTAAAGTGTCAAATTATGGTAGCGTTTTCTGCATCAATTCTTCATAATTGCTTGCTTTATGACTACTCAGGAAGCTGTGGACAACGGAAATAAAACCGTCCCAAGCACATGCGGTTAAAATCGCTTCCATCCATTGTTTACTCTTTTCAACTGTTAAGCCTATATTTTAGTTCTCATGTCCTCATAGGTGATTTTTGGTAAAGTGAATTTCTTCGCCTTATTCCAGTTTCTACGGTTAACAGTTTGTACTCGTTTGCGCAAAAAGCGCGCTGTCACCGAAAACGAAAAATCAGAGGCAAATGAATTCATCGGACTCATTAGTTTCGGTCTACTGAACAGCACTTTACCCCAACTCCAGCTAATTAAGTATTACCTCAAATTTGCTTTCTATCCTTATCAAAATAGTATATGATAGGGCCTTTGGATCGGCTTTTATCTTTGCACTCGAACAGTACTTTTATTTTATCTGCTGTGGATTTACCGGTTTTCATTTAGCCTTTAGACATTTTCTTCCGCTAGACTAGTCACAAGGTCACTAATGCTCTCCTTTGCCTAATTTTGAAAATAAACTGACATACTGCGCGTACCATTAGAAGGTATTGTAAAGCGTTTTATAACTTAAGAAAGCCACGACAAACGGATCTTTAACACTGTGGTGTCAACACGATGCATATTAGGGATCGATTCACTGAGTGACATTTACACTCCTAATGCTTTGTTCCCAATGTACAATTTTGATTTTTTAGTGATGTTGCAATAAACCATCCGCAGTGGATATTGTAAGACTGCAAATGTATCATCTCAGATATTATAGAGCTCATAATAACAAACTAACTACTCGCATCCACTAGAGGGCACGATGCAGTCTACCGTGATAAAGAAAAAAAACGGAGGACGAAACAAAATGATGTTGCCAAATCAGGAACACGGTACCGATTCCAAACGGCATGCAAGGACGTGGAAACTGAAAACGGTGTAGTCGAGAAACTCTATGCACTGACTTGTCAAGCTCCTGAAAATCTATATCATCGACTGTTGCAGTGCACAGTTCAAATCCACATAAACAAGTCATACAGCTATGTGAAAAGGACGGTCACACCGAAATAGTAAACTATGTTGTGAGGAAGCCTGGTGAGTCAAAATAGAGCATATTGTTACCACATTTCATCATCAACAATACATATTATCAGAAAATGAGAAACAGCTCAGCTAATGCGATGCAATATAAGTAAGTGCTGGGATACACGTTCTCGGCGAAAAAATGGGCTAACCCAGTGAAGTCTCGCCCATGTTGGCGGTCGAACCAGCTCGTGGGCATTGTGGAATCCATGCCAAGAGTGCTGAGCCGCGACACGTGAGAAAACCTTTCGGGGAATGGACGTAGCAAAAACCCAGTCATACACGTGGGCGCTATGAGAGCCGTGCCAAGATTCCTGATCCCCGACATGTGAGAAAACTTTTCGGGGTCAAACTACCAAGGGAGCCGGAGACGTCAATCCTGGCTGAGTCTACGTGTCAACCAGCACGCCAGAGATGCACACATCAAACGTACTTGCGATATGGGGGCGGGGGCTCACAGCCAAAATGCCAGTGTAAAATCATATGTTTGACCTCTAAATATAGCCATAAATAATTCTAATAGAAGTCATCTCTGGTCATCCAAGTTGTCTCTTTCCTGATTTTCCCCGGTTGGGTTAGATGCAGCACCAAGCAGTGACCGGTCAACGTTGCCACAGCGAGCTTTTACGGCAGTACAACACCGAGCAGTTTATGACAACTACAAAACAAGTAATTCTCATCTTATGCATTGGGTATAAAATCGTTATTGGCGGGGAAATAAAGAGGAGGGGAAAATAACTCACAATACAAAGGCCACAGAGGTCGATTCTTCGCCATGTCGACAAGTGTGGATAACCAGACGCGAACATGGTCTCTGGGACCCTTGCCCGGACGTCAGTAGACACCATCCGATGCCAACTTCGAAGTGAGGGACTTTATTCCTCTTGACCAAGTCATCACTTGGCTACGCCTTCTCTTCATTCATCCAGACCTCGGGTGCGCAAACAACGCACCTCGCCGGAGTCGGTGGACTGGCATGCGCAACACGTGGCCCAGTCATTGGATCTTGGTGCGTGATGTAACGGTGTTGAGCGGTTCATTCGCTTTACCTACACCAAATACACGACGACGAATACGATCGTTGTTCACGCAATGATCGGACGTAGCTAGCTTCTTTATGTTTGACGACTTGATGGGCCAGGTTTCGCAACCGTACAAAAGGGTTGAACGGACGGCTGCGATGTAAATTCGGCCGTTCATGGCCTACAGTGTTCCTGATTTATATTAACGAGCTAGCTTAGATTCTTCGGTCGCCGCGTGCTCTGTTCGCAGACGATTTGAAGATGTGCAGAGCAATAACCACTTTCGACAACTGCATCCCACATCAGAAGGACCTTAACCGGCTTTCCAGGTGATCAGCAGAAGTCTACCTCACTGTCCACTCATCCAAATCAGTATTCATGAGTCTGGGAAAGGGTGGTGAC